TACGTATATAAAACGGTTAGTTTTTATTGGAAAGTAGTTAATGTAGGTGAAGAGTGAAGATCTATGTCTGAAGTGCTATTGCAGCTTTTCACTGAACATATTACCCTTTTTTTTTATTTAACTTTAGAGAAAACTTCGTCGACTCCATCATCAAAAAAATTTTTACTTTTTTAACATGTTTTATTATTTTAATAAACAATTTTACAATTTGCTTACACAGTTCCTATGTAAATTTTTCCCTCATTCGAGTTATAAATTTTGCCACCGGATGGTGTATGCCCATTTGACGGATCCCAATAGTTGAACAAAGAGGCCACATTACTGTATGAAAACACGTAACCACCAACTACAATTTTGTTCGAAGGTAAACCTAATATTGATGCAAGGTCACGTTCGTAATTGTAGAGAAATAGTGAACGGGTAGGTAAATTAATGTCTGGAGGAAAACATGAAATTTGTTTTACGAAGCTCTTAGTCTAGAGAAAGGGGATATTGTCGAAGTTTTCCTGTAAGTTATGTCGACGAGAAAATTGGATTAAATAAGCCATTTTAAACAACAGTGTAGAACTGTCTGAACTGCTCCCCGGGATATTTATTTATAACTTCCATAATTCGCGAGCTTAAACAATTAAGAAAGTTAAATACTATAGTTTGTTAGACCTAAGCGTGTTCTTATCTATTCAATGTGAAAAAGTTAGTTTTTGTATAAGTAGAATCTTCCTAGGACTAATTGCCTAAGGTTAATTAAGTTATTTAGGATCAAACATACATACAATTTTAGACAACTTTTTAGAAGTGAGTTAGTTTTATATGAAATATTAATCTGATTTTCCCTCATTAATTTGAGGTAGCGTGTGGTAGGTAAAAAATTAAAAAAATGAATTTTCAGATTAATATTTCATATTTATTTAGGAAGCTATAATTAATGAAGAACAAGGAAAAAAGTTAATATCCAACTAAAACCATCAAATATCCTGATTTAAATTTATTACTTATACCTTCTCCTTTATTTTGTTGCTAATTTTCAACAGCTTTACTAAATCAAATTTTGAATAGTTATGGGTCTCATATCAGGCAATTATAGAGCTGGAACTGCAACGTTGAGAAGTAAATACGTATTAGGAAGGGAGATAGACAGGAATGCACANCATCAGACATTTTTAGTTTTCACCAGCGAACAGAGCCCGCTTTGCTTGATTCTCTGTTATCTCATATTTATCCGACCGTAACCCGCTGACCTGTCTCCCGAGTTCCTGGTCTTCCCGTCCATTGCCCAGTGCATATGTGGTTTTTTGGCGCATGACCAAAACCTCTTCTTCGGAATAATTCATCTCATGCTGACGACGCTGCGCCGAACTCGGTTCTTCATCAGAAAGAACGAAAGGGCAAGGGACCTAATGGTCGCCCGAGGGCAGGCTAATAGGGCGTAAGCCCGACATTTATGACGCATACATTACACTTCGTTTCAGGAATTGTGAGCATCGGACAAAATTTACATTCTGACAGCAACGGCGGAATTTCATTGCCGATTTATATTAGCCATTCGTTATCAACCTTTTGCGAATGTAACTTACTCACAACAGGTATCTATATATGTATAGGTGTACCTGAATAAACCTAACCTAAGGAGTTTTCATATCTGTAGGTAATGTCGGACATTATGCCCTATTAAATTAATACTTTTCGGTTAATTTTACTGAATAATTTATGCTTGATTAACAAAAGAGTTAGTTAGGAGTTAGAGATAGCTTTAAATAAAATGGAAGCGGTATTGACAAAACAGTACCGTATGAAAATAAATAAAAGTAAAACAAAAATACTGGTATGCAGGGGAGAAAAAGTAGGGAAAGAGCGAATATAAAGATAGGAGACGAAAAATTAGAAGTGGTTGATTTTAAATATGCCAGGGCGGAAGGTGTAGTAGGAATATAAAGCAGAGGGTAGCGCGGGGTCGAGTCGCCTTCAATAAAAAGAAGTCACTTCTATGTTCACGAATGGTTAATTTAGAAATTTAGAATGGATTGTTAAAGGTGTATGTTTGGAGCGCGGCGCTGTACGGGTGCGAAACATGGACGCTGGTTGCGGCGGAAAAGAAAAGGTTAGAAGCGTTCGAAACTGTCCTTTTTGCTTTGTATCGAGTATATTATGCATTTTACAGTTCGAATGTATTTTTTAAAATAAATTTATTATACTCTATCTGCACTTACTGATTAAATATTGCATTTTCCGAGTATCTAAATATAAATCGTCTATTCTAAGGGTATCGGAAGTGTTCTAAAAACTTCAAGAGTGTTTTTCGTTTAACACAATAGGCGTTATATGTGGGAGTCCTTGGTGACTTCCTCCGAAATAACTTAGAGAACGCTGTCGCTCTCCAGGGACTCTAAAGGCGAGGGCACGGGCCTTTACTTTTTTATTGTCTTTTACGTGATCACAATTGAGTTTAATGGATTATATATGTTCAATCTTCGCTCTATCTACTATATCAATTTATTATAGATACACTAATCCGTCGAAACTTAGTAGTATGTAATGCCGTTATATAAGGGACTTTTGTGTAAAACTTCAAACTTCCTGACACAACCGTTTGAGCTATGCTTTGATCGGTGCTTGATATGAAATGTTAAATTGTTAAATGGAAAATTTACACAACATTGTACATCCAACTACTTCATTACTCAGAGTGGGATGTTGTAATTGTTTTAGGTAAATGCGATGATTAGCTCAAAATAGGAAAAAGTGGAAGTGGGAGACCAACTAGTCGCAGGACTGATGAAGGGTGTTATGGTGTAAAAAATAGGTAGTTACCCTAGACAAAAATTTTCAGTCTCTCAGAATCTTTCAGCGTTTCTGAGAGCGTCTCTCACGGTCTTTCACAGTCTCTCAGTTATTGCCTAGGTGTTTTTATGGATCTCACACAGTCTCTGTATGAGAGATTCGAACGATAAAATTGGTAATTCAGAGATTTGAGTCTCTCGTTCAAAGATTCGAGTCTCTGTTTCACAGACTGTCAAAAAAACTGTTTAGCGTCTCTGAACGAGAGACTCGAGTCGCTCATAGAGAGATCCTCATTTCGTATTCAGTCTCTGAACGAGAGACTCGAGTCGCTCATAGAGAGATCCTCATTTCGTATTCAGTCTCTGAACGAGAGACTACAATCTCTGAACGAGAAACCCAAATCTCTCAATAAGTGATGTCTCGACAGACATGGTTAAAATTTCCTAAGTTCAACATATTTCAGAGATCCTAGTCTTTCTACGGGAGACTCGAGTCTCTCAATTTTTCAGTTTTATTCATTCGAATCTCTGAATTAACAATTTTATTGTTCGTGTCTCTCATACAGAGACTGTGAGAGATCCATAAAAACACCTAGGCAATAACTGAGAGACTGTG